GATTGGCGATGCTGCTGCCAAATTTCTTAAACGAAATTATTTATTAAACCACGAACACTTAAGAGTAGGCGTTGCAAAACAACATCAACGTACCATGCTCTTGATTTGCTCGTAGCGGAAAACACGTCAACAGCTTGTTGATGTCTTTTGGAAATCATCTGATAGATGCATGTGTTGCATGCGAAACGGTTCATTTTCTGCTTTCCGCTTGACATAGCAGCATTAACTTTAAATTTATGTTTCGAGTTGCTTTTCTCCGCTGTCATTAATGTACTGTGTGGTTTATTAATATCTCTTGTTATGCTTCCATTACAGGCGTCCCTCATATAGAACGGTTTTTTTTTGTACCGTGCGTTTTATCAAAACTGTGTTGGACAGGCACGGTGTTACACGAGGCACGCCGTTACCTGAAGAAACCAGTTCTTTATAGAAAATTGTTGATGAAGAATACAAACTCAGTATTTATTAAAGGTTTAAAAAGGAGTGAAACGATTTTCATTTATACGACTTAAAGCAGTAACTGAAAGAAAAATGCTTTCACTTTGGGATATGTTATATTTGACGATTTCAATTAAAAAAAGAATAAAGTACTCACTCGTAGTCATCAGCTTACATACGATTTAAACAACTTAAATGCCGTAGTTCAAATTAAAGATTTGGAAATTTATCTCCGCCTGCTAGTAAAAGTAATTGCTTGCAATTTCAAGTAAGCATGGAATCATCAGAAAGACAGGGCACGTTTGGTGTCGATGTTCGTCGCAAGTTATTGCACAAAAATATTTTGAGATTTAAATTTTTTCTTCACTATACCACTTACGATACAAGAGTACATTAAGTTTGTGCGGATATATGCAACACACAGAAAGATTTGATACCGATTCACCTTACATTATATAATTTTGTAAGATCAAAGCTTGTCTATCCGTCCGTCCGTCTTGTTTTCTTATGTTTGGTGTCGATATTTGTCGCAAGTTATTGCACAAAAATTTTTTGAGATTTACCTTTTTTCTGCCTTATGCCACGAACCACTTTTTCAACTAATTCCTATATAATACCTGGTTTTGAAAAGTCGCTATAATATTATTATAAAGTCGTTGTGTATTAAGCAAATCATTGTAGGTTATGGACAATGGTGTACTGTGTCCCACTATACACACTTCATTCACCAATTATATGTACATTCACGATATTATAAATGGAATATAAAACGCTCCGCTATTAGAGAGTTTCTCTGTCTTGTTACATGATATATGACAAATACAACCACAACGAAACATCCGCTTATGATTTTAAAAATAAGTTATAACCAATCATTATTGAAGATTAAAGGTGTTGAAGATGAAAAGAGAAAATTTCCGCGTAAATGGGTAAACCATTTTTATATAATTGTGTTATAACTTTTTATAGCCATCGCCGAAAGATGACGGTTATGTTCATTTTATCAAAACAAAAATTCAGGGACTCGATAAAGTATGTCGTTCGTATGTCGTCGTCTGTCCATCTGTCCGTCCATCCAACTGTGTAGTAACTGGGAAAATAAAAATATCACCTGGGGCTGTGCAAAAGAATTTAAAATTCCTCCACGATGCGTTCTTCACTTCACAGGTTTTCACTTAATAATAATTTGTTTGGAAGTTTCGTAGACGGATCTTTTGCATACACCAACAACAGACAAAAAAATGATAAATGAAGTGGACATTATTAAGGTAGCTCTCGTTACCGTATTTGATAATAAGCACGTCTTTGACCCGTCTTTCTGCATGTCATCAACAAAATGACAAACTAATTCCATCATGTATCAATGGGAGTAAAGAGCTAAAGCTTGGTTTCGGATCTTACTAGACTTCATTCTTAGACATTACAGAAAATGTTCTGAAAGTTTTTTCTCGCTTGTAACAACCGAAAGTATTCTCTTTCACTGGTCCTCTCTGTCTTTCTCCCTTTGTCGTTTGTTACTAAATTTAGTTTTTATCCATTGGTATGGGGAGATTGGTGTCAACGTTTCTCCACAACTGCACTACACTACAAGAATACGTAATCTTTCATTGTCTTACGTTTCTCTTTCTTTTAATTATTTATCGTTCTTTGCCTAAAAAACTTTGAGTAAACTAATTTCTTTAAACTCTTTTATTTTATACTCTAGCTCTGCTACCCTCAAGGATGTCAACTGAAAAACAAATAAACAGATGCAATAACATTGTTTTTACTTTTTCTTTTGCATTCTTCTCTCCAGGTAAGAAGTTTATGTTCTTGTCAATTAGTCTTTTACTTGAAATTTCTATAAAATAAATTTTGTTATGATCTTAGAACTTTACATTTTGACTATTATTTATGACATTTTGTGGGATCTCTTTTTTATGTGATTCTTATAGTAACAAGTTAACACATAACATAAATGTCTTTATGAAACCGACAATTTTTAAATGAAAATATTTTCTCAAATTTTCAACTTTTTTTTAAGCTGGTAGTTATTATTTTCTAAAGTTATGCATCTTATAGTCATAGACATATACATATATATGGGGCTACTGAATATTCACTATGAAGTGTTAAACTTTTGTTATTGCTTTAGAATAGAAATTTGAGAAAATTTATCGATGCTTAATGCACATTATATGAGCGTATGTCGGTAAAGACCTTATTGCTGACAAATTTGATAATAAAACATTTATGAAAATGTAATCAGCTGCATACAAAATCTTATTAGCTTCAAACGACGACGAATGGAAGAACATCTCTTATTGATTTGGGATTGTCTTCGGTGGTGTTTAGGCAGAAATATTTCCGTAAGAATTTCCAAACCAACCAAAACCTATTATAAATTCCGATGCATTGATAGCAAAATTTCTTAAAGTTTCATTGAACTCCTTGAAAGCGGGAGTTACGTCTGGCCGTGCATCAAAGCCTTTCTCATTATTTCCTTTTAGGTACGGAACTATAGGTTGGAATGACGTATTACATTTAATCAGAATATGATTAAAAGTTCTTTGATAGTTAACGTATTTATGGCTTTCCACATGTATTGAACAGCGTAAGATAATTATTTGCTATCGTTACATTTGTAGAACTGTCAAAAAAGCACGTGTGGAGTTTCATTCTAGCATGTCCAACGCTATTGTTCAGACAGCTGTTGAAAGCAAGACCGTTTTTGTGCTGTCTTCGATGTAAAAAAGATCGGCAAAGTATAGTGATTCAAAATTTATAATAAAAAAATTTATTTCGAACACGCATCGTATAACATTTTATAGGAAAAATACGTTCGAAGTCCAAAACATGTTATTATTGAAAAAATTATTGATAACATGAAAAAGGAAAACACACTTATATAGAATTTAAATGGTTGTGTTTGCAAATAAATTGGAATTCGTTTCCATGAGAACTACTAGCTGCCTTCTATAATCACCTACGAACAGCTGAAGTATATCTCTCTCTCCTAGTCAAAGCTCAGTGAACGCAATAGTTCAGTTCACATTATATCGCTGGCGTGTAAAGGTTAAAATCCAATCCGTTTTGTATGTGTGTAAAGTAAAAGAGCGAAAATACACTAGTGGGCCATCTGAGGTACCATGCAATACCCTCCAATTGCTGGTATATCGTATTGCTCGTATAGCGACTTTTCAAATAAAGTAAGGAATTATTATCTGGGAAGCGGTCGACAAAGCGATCAGATCCAAATCATTTGCGGTAGAGTTCTTTCGTGGGCCAAACAATGTCAGTGTACAAAATGTAATCGAAATATCTGTGATATGGACAGACATTAGACGGGCGGACAAGCTTAGAGCTTGGTAAAGGGTAAATCTATCTGTGGTCCTTTTGGGCCTGCACCAATATAGTGGATCGTGTACCACAATTGATGTAGAGTATAGAAATCGTTGTTTGCATAAATTATTATCCAAAGCTCTATGTCTTAAGGCTAGTAAAAGAATGCTAGAACCGGATTTTGCAATGTATGCAAAAATTACTTTTTATTAAAAATCGAACTATGTCTTTATTAAGCCGGGCTGTTTATCAATCTTAACGAAATCATGAGCTTTGTCAGAGCTTTTTGTTTTTTAATCTCTGCTAGTGTTTTAACTGGCACGCAAAGATATGCAATACGTGGAATTTTTGAAGAAAGGTACGAAATGAAACTCGATTGAAATCGTGCCTTACCTGATCGTTTTGCCGACGACCAATATTTTGCAGTTATTTTATGAAGTGTTGGGTACTTTTGAATGACTCAAACTTGTCTATTATCCAAAGGCAGAGACATGTAGCAGATTGGAAGATATGAAAACCTATTGCTGTTTTCTGTAGAACAACACTTCATAGATCATTAGAAGTAATAACAAACTGCACTAACGTCAAGCTTAATTGCAAACACTCAGAACTCTAATTAATCTCATAAGCTTACGTTAACGATTTGATAAAGATTCAAAAATAGTTGTTTTTAACTTTGTAAGCAAGAAGAACGTGTTTCTTTCATTGTTAGAAATTCCGGTCGTTCTTAAAGCGGTTTAAAAAATAAACAACTGAAAACACTATAGCGGGTCACGGTCCACGGGTAAATACCCTACGCCACGCTCAATCCAGTTATTCATGTAACGACTTTTTAAAGTAAGGCCTTACGTAGAAGGTGCTTAGAACTACCTTCAAAGGCGTTCATCCTTAGACCCAGATCAATGTACCAGACGTCATCAAGATATCGCAAAAATTCAGAGCTGTAAGCTAAACAACTTACTATAGAAAAGCTTAGATTGATTAAGAGAACAGTTCTGAGTCATCAGCGATTAGTTCCGATATATCCCAAGTTCTTCTTGAATAGTGTAGGGTATAAAAATAATTCAACCACCTCAGTAGATTCTACCCAATGGAAACACACGATACAAACATAAAAGTTTGTCATATAAGTTAAAGTTTCATTTCTTAAACGTATCTCCATCGGTCAGCAACATTCTTCTTCGATTCTTCTTCTTTTATTCTAAATTCAACGAAGAGTTTTTGTACTTTTTGCGCTAAATATGCTGCAAACTCGATTATTGAATGAAGATTTGCAAAAGCAAGCTAACGAAATGTTAAATGAAGTGCCCGCGCGTATACACGAAGACTTACAAGCTTTAAGAATATGGATCCAAGGACAACAGCATTTATGTGCTAACATTGATGATCAATTCTTAATTGCTTTCTTGCGACGATCCAAATATAGTTTGGAGAAGGCTAAAAAAAGGATCGATTCTTATTATAGTTTCAAAAGTAAATTTCCCGATTCCTTTAACGTAACTAACGTGGATAGCCCAAGATTCCGGGAAATATTTCGCTTGGGGTAACTAAGATAGTTAAATAAATTGCTTAACTATTGAAAGTTCTTCTTTCCAGTGGATTTCTATATTTGCCGATTCCTCTACACAATAATGGTCCTCGGATATTTTTCGTTCGCGGCGGTTTTTATTCAGCTCATATATTTAGTCTGGAAGAAGTGTTGGCTGTCAATCATGTTCTACAAGATATTGTGATTTTAGAGGATGATTATGCTGTTGTTAACGGCTTAGTAGGGATCGCTGTTGATGAGGCAATAACTTTATCGCATATTCTCCAAGTGACTCCATTGTATTTAAAAAAATGGATTTCCTATAATCATGAAGCAATACCGTTGCGTGTAAAATCTGCCCATATTTTAAAAGCGCCTAAAATATGTGAAACTGTTTACAACATGGGCAAGCCATTCTTACCACTTGGACACGAAGATAGAGTACGTGAAACAAACAATAATTCCATTACTGTCGTAACTACCATACATATATATATTAACATATTTTATTCAGTTATTATTCCATGATTCGCTCGATTCATTGAGTCAACATGTTCCCTTGAAATATCTACCAAGCGATTATGGCGGTGAAAATGGTAGCATTGAAGAAATCGTAGCTGAATGGGATGAGAAGTTAAATAAATATCGAGATTATTTTAGTAAAAGCATTCAGTGGGGTATTGATGAGAAGTTACGAATCGTCGAAGCTAACGAACAAAATGATATCTTTGGTATCGAAGGTTCTTTTAGAAAATTGGACTTCGATTAGTTGCAATAATAGTGAAAATGGAATGGATTTTAATTGAAACGTTTCATAAATAATGCTATAAATAAACTAACTTTTAAGTAAAGCGTTAAAAATTGACCCTTCTTTCCATATGCAGGGCCATGTTCTCCATGGACATATGATAGGCGATTCAAAAATTAGTCTCATCCCATAGAAATATTCGACATCGATTTACTAAGGCAAAGCAAGAAATTTTAAAAATAGAAAGTTTTCTTCATACAACGGGTGCTTCAAATTAGGATTTCATATAGGAGGTGATCCAATTTATTTTCACTAGTTTTCGGCCTTTGATCTAAAAAATAAAAATACTTTGTAAATTCGGATTTGTAATTTGGGCACGAATATTAGTGCGTAGTGGGCAGTAGACATTAGTGAGACACGCGGACAGATGGTCGCAAATGTTCAATTCGAATGAAGTGTTAGATGCTTCTGGGTGCTGTGTACGTTCTTACAAATTTTTCATACCTTTAGCACAAGTAGTCTAGGTTGGGATTTGTGTAAACTGAGGGTTTCTAAAAGGAAACCGGTGCAATTGAAAGATTTTTTGCATCAATCGAAGCAATATTACTGATTGCTCTGTATACACCAACATATACAAATATGAATTTGTAGGAAATTTGATGAAATAAAAACAAGTTCGGCGGGGGGGCCGAATATTCAATATCCACCACTATGCTTTTCACATTCTACTCTCCAAGTTTTTTTATTTGATACCCATATCGCTGGTATTATTAAGAAAAAATTTATCCCGGTGTCTACTATATTCATTTTGAGGCAAATAATATATCATTTTTAAGCATATCTTCATTTGAGAAGTGCACAAAGTAGTTTTAGACATTTTGTCTTGCTTGCCTTATGCTAAATAAGCATAAAATCTCAAAAAAGTGAAAAAAATTCAATTTAATTGCTTGTAACTTTGTGTGGGCATGGCCGATGGGTTCAATTTTCGGACCTAAAGAGTAGACTATTTCGTAAAGTAAATGTGGAAAAATCCAAAAATATTTGTTCAAAAAAGTTGGGTTGCATTCAGTTTATGCTCCACTGCGGGCGTCTGCTCTTACCAATTAGGCCCACTTTCAATACCAACCTGCGCGCAGGGACTTCCAATGTTTCTACCAAATTTGAAGTCGATGCCTTCATTATTGCGACAATTAAATGATGTCAGTGGTGGCATAAAAAACCCCTCTGGTCATCTGTTAGTTCGAAATATTTGGTCTGTCACCACATCGTAAATTGGCCTTAAATTTACTTTAAATGAAATCTGTATCAACTTTTACAACAAAATTGTATTAACATTATTTACAATCCGACTTATTTGCAATAATTGCTATACATTTTATGTACTTTTACGTTCTCTTTAAAGAAAGAGAAGAAATGGTTGATATACATTGTACATAATGAACAAATCATCGTTTGTTTTTTTTTCTTAACTGGCGGAATTCCCCCCGCGATAATCGTCAGAGAAAAGAAAAATGAAAGAGAAAAGATTAGTAGTGAGGCTGTCGCAGCCTACTACGTGTACACCTAAATAATAAATGTTGTGCCTTTACGGACTGAGCAGTGACTGAATCTACGACCAAAGTAAACTCTACTGTTTAACACAATTGTCTTACATAAGTCTAGCAAGCAAATTAAATGCAATTAGATCGTATTATACACATACAAAGCCTTTTGTCCGGCTAAAAGATATTTGTATTCAAAACTGGAAGCTTTATGATTCGTATAATTTCTTTCCCATGGACCATTAATATTTATGAGAAATCAATTGAAGCACAAATATCCTGAATCAACGTAAGATTCTCAGTCGGTTTAAACATAGCTGTCATCTGCTGTCGAGAGGAAATTCTCCATAGATAAGTCAAAAAGCCATTTGAAAAAGAGTTTTGTTCTTAACAGTGACACTCTTACGATGATCATGAATAGATTATTATCGATTCAACAAGTGCTACCTAAGAAGGTTTGCCCCATAGCTTATACTCTTAAGCGTTGTAAGTATATATAGAAAGATAGTCGCGATTGGTGTTTTGGCTACATCCCAAAAAAATGTCCATTGTAATGATGCGCAATAACTTATCGCAGCTATAGATTAAGTGTTTGCTGCCTTCTTTCTACCCAAGTAAGTACTATTACTCCAATAATATCAGTCGTGTCCCCTATTTCAAAATTATGTTATTTAAACATAATAAAAAAGAAATGATCAGAAACTTTGTTCCTCACAATTTGTAGAATCTTGTTTTCTTCAGACTGCTCTATGGTCTATCAATGAATGTCACATTGCCCGGAGATACCTAAAGGTATACAGCTTTTACGTAATCAGCGATCACTTTCGACCTACTTAAAAGCAACTTGTATTGATGTCGTTACAGATATTTATCGCAAATGTCAGTAATTTCTCTAAGCCTTTCAAAAGGAGCTTAAACTTTAGAAATGATCCTCTTCAATTTAGATATGGTTAAATTCGGCCAGAATGTTGCTGATCTATGGAAAAGATGCGAAAAAAGTAAGGAAAACTTAACATGACCCTAGTCACGTAACTTATAATACAATTTTCGGTCATGCATATATAACGATTCAAACATAAAAAATAGTTGCTTGCCAATGTGAAAACTATGTACCGCAGTGCTTCCAACAAAAGCCAGAGAACTGATGTGAATTTCTGCAGGACATAAGAGACTATGTGCGAAAAAATAAATGCATTTTTAATTTTATTATAAAAATCATGTCCGAAAGATTATGTCTTAATGGTACTTAAAAAGTTGGTTAAAAACCACAACAATTCGTATAATTGTGACGTAGAATTTTTGCAGAGAAATTACCTTCAAAAAGGAAGGAAATTAATGAATATTTCATAATTAAAAAGAGAAACAAATTGCAATTGCAACTGAAATGCGTATGAAGAGTCAATTAAATCAATTAAGTAAAGTGCCTTGCAGAAAAGAAAGTTTCAACTTAATCAGTTGACACCATATACTGAGTGAAATTTAAAAATTTTAAAAAAAGACATTAGCAGAAAGTATAAAGCCGGTGCCAACCTCGTCCTTATAAGCTTAAAAATGGTCGATTATTATTATTATAAAAGCGCTCAATGTCACATGTCTTTCAGCTCTCTTGCTCAGAGCTTATTAAAATCTAAATAAACATTTAGAGGTTCCTCTAATTGAACAGTTGAACGACTTGAAAAACTTTCTTCCCTACTTTTTGGATTTTTTCATTAAGTATTAGAAAAAAACCCAAGCAGCGTGTTCCACAAGTATGCTAAAAAACGCATTTATGAAAATGGAGAATGCAATTGAGTAAATTCTGTGTACCCGTACCCGTACAATAGCATGAAAACATCAACAACTCAGCAGAAAATCAGAAGAATAAACAATGATATCTTAATCATCAGTGATGATGCATTTTTAAAATGAATCAAGTCGCAATGAGAGCAGCAATGATTGCATAATGAAACAAGCAATAAAGAATGTGATGTTCGTCTTTGGATTGAATTTTTGATACCAACTATGTGAAAGCAGCTGAGAAATATTTCTACCAAATTTCATATCTACAAGTATTAGCAGAAACTTTTCTCATATTGCATGGATGTGTAACTACGCATATTTTTTTCTTATCCATAGTAAATGTACTGATGGAGGTTGAGCCAGATAGGAACTTTTTTTATCCAAACTTGGCCATAATATATATTTATATAGTTTTAATATAGACTTTCAATGTCCAGTTTTGGCTTAAAAAGCAAGCGAAAGAAGAGTTGAATGCATCTGACAACATGGAATTTCACGCTACTCAGGAAGATATATATGTATAGTTCGTCTTTGGGCCAACACACGTTAGTGTACCAAATTTTATCAAAAATTGCGGCCTGAAGATTGAACGCAGGACAGGACGGACAGGCAGCCCTAGATAGATTTAGAAAGTGATTCTGAGGTCATCGGCTTAATCAAAGGTGGATCTTTTTCAAGTTCGTTTGGGTTTTGCGCGCATCCGCGTAAACTTATTATACGCCTTTACAACAAGTAGTGTAGGGTCTGAGGTTTGAATCTTCAATCGAAGCATTTTTATTTTGTAATATTTAACAAAGAGATAAAATGTAAATATAATTCGACGTTTTTTTTTTTTGCTCGTTCTAATTAAAATCTTCAAAATAATACACACTATGGCGGCATCGAATGCTGTTAGGGAAAATAATTGTAATTCTCTTTTCCCGCAAATTTCTGTTAAGTAGAAAAACTTTTTTAGAAAATTACATTTATCAGTTAAAAAGTTTCCAAATAGGATTTGAAGAAGTATTTACTCGTCCGCAATGCTCTCGTTCTTCTTTTAAGCGCGCACACAATTTTGATAGACGTAATTTAATTTAACGAAAGTGCATGCTTAGCAAATCCAATTTTAAAAGCACAATTCCATGTATATGAACTAATGAAAAATAGCAGTAATGGCAACAACAGAAACAACAACAGTAATCAAGAGAACTATCCTACACCAGACAGCACGCACATAGATGTTTACAAATCTTTTTACATTGACTAACTTACACTCTTTTTCTATGGCTGCCTGGCGGATTTCGGAGTTGAAAAGAAAATTAGGAACTTTATTCTAATGTGCAAACAATGAGGAAAACTGTATGTGAGGTTAACATATACATATGTATGCTTGCCTATATGAAAAGTATAAATAATTTCAACTTGGGCATACTTTTCGAGAGAAAACTTATTCATTATCAAAATTCACTATTAAAGATTCAATCAGTTTCGTTGAGGAAATTTTTAGCATGATGAGCATGTAGTATACAGTGTTTTAAGGAGTCTGAAATCATTATCGGATAAAAAAATAAATCAATAATTTTAGCAGTTTTGTTGTTTGTGTTAAATTCGCATTTATCCTGTTTTTAATATTCGAGAACATGCAGTGAATATTTCAGAACACGAGATAACATACTCCACATGGATATACACTTACATTTTGCCTTCTGGTCTGTCTTCTTT